ACAGGAGGCCAGTGCAGCGGAGGAGTCAGCTGTCAAAATAGACTTAGCTCTCCTCCCCGCACCGCCTGCTCAGCCTCCTGTGACTGAGTCAGGATGGAGAGCGGGTATAAACAGTCAGTGATTTCTGACTGCTTGTAAATAATTGAGGACAGAGTATGTTTACTGTGTCACCAACCGGAAGTGATCTACATCACTTCCTGTTCATTCATGATTGTGGATATAGTAAACATACTATCTCTACAAGGTATAAATGGACACAAGTACTCAGTATAGAGGATTCGTGGTCATTCATAACGGGCTGCAGAAAAAGCGATTAAGGACTTGATGTCCTCAATCTTTTTTTCTATTATAAAAAGGAAATATCAGGGGTCTGTATAGGCCCCTGATATTTCCCAGAGTCCCTGACCGTAAAGTATTGGGTTTTTTTAATTATTAAAATATAAAAAGTTGGCCACTAACATCTCTATCTGGTCCCAACCCGCTTCCGCGATCTTCATGGCTGGCTTATTATAAAAAGTTTAGAATTTTTTTTAAAAAATGTATGGTTAGGAAAAAAAAGTTTAATTTTTTTTCTTTTTGGTTTCAAAATTTAATTTTCGGTGCAACTTTTTAAGTAAGGATTTCTAAATCTGTCTCCTTGAGAGGCTCAAAAGGATGATTCTGTAGACAGGAGAGAACTAGATTAAGATCCCAAGGGGGAATGAGAGAATGTCTGGGGGGGCGGGGACGTTAAATGAGTAACACTGTACAAATGTCTTTATCAGAGAAAAAGATGCCAAAGGCTCTTAAAAGAGAGCTGAGAGGGCTGAAATCTGACCTTTAATCACAGATCATTTTTGCTCTAACCCAGATTGTAGAAAAGCTAAAAAGAAAACATATTTTTTGGTTAAGACTTTTCTTCTCACACCAAGCAAAGAGTGCCTTCCATGCTCTGTAGTAGACTCTACAAGAGGAGGGCTTCCTAGCTTGTAATAAAGTAGGGATAACCTCATGAGCTTGATCTTCTTTTTTCTTCAGAACCCGGGCTTCAACAGTCATGTCGTCAAAGCCAGCGACTGAGAAGCAGGGTGGAAGACTGGTCACTGGGACAAGATCAGGCCGATTGGGAAGGTTCCACAGCCAAACAAATTATCTCTGTGTACCATTCGCTCCTGGGCCAACAGAGGGCTATTAGAATCACTGGGGCTCTTTCTGATGCAATCCTGTGAAGGAGATGAAGATCTTTACGGGAGGAAATACATAAATCAGTTTGAACTGATCCCATGGGGTCACTAGAGCATCCACCGCAAAGACCTTTGAGTCCCTGTACTTGCACTCAAACCTGTTTAACTTGGTGTGGAACCTCTATGCCAACAGGTCTACATCTGGTGTACCCCAATGGCAGCAGATCATCTAAAACACTAGTGGATTCAGGGGCCACTCCCCAGATCCAGTCACTGCCTGCTGAGGAAGTCTTTTAGAAATGTAGGGATCTTTTAGAAATTGTAATTCCTAATAACTTTTAACACCATTTTGTACTTAAAAAGTGGGAACGGCTTCAATGATAGGTCCAGAGTCTCAGAATGGTGGAATTGAAAGTCATACACACTGCACACCTGACTCCCACCATTCCAATGACACCCCTGCCACCTCAGCTGGTCACCATTTCAGTGACGCTGCCATCTACAGGCACTGTTAGTGTCACTAGAATGATGGATAGGTTTGAGTGTCCTCGGGAAAGGTGTGTGCACCTGGCTCACACCTATCCGCTATTCCAGTGGCACTGACAGTGCACCTGGCTGCCACCTACAGGCACTGGAATAGTGGATAGCTAGGTGAAAGCCAGGTGCACACACCATTTCAGTGACACTGACAGTGCTTGTAGGTGGCAGCCAAGTGTACTGTCACTATAAGGTGGACAGGAATGACCGAGGTGCAGACACCTTTCCAGAGACAATGGCACTGTTAGGATCTCTGGAATCAGTGCTGTCTTTAACGCAGTGCAAAAGGGGCAGTTACCCTGGGCCCAGTCATTGTTATGGGGCCCAAGGCAGTTACCGCTTGATCCCGCAAAAAGATACACATGCGTCACCGTTCTGTTTACTATGTGATCATCGTATAGTGTTGCTCCACCCCTGCCGTACACTGCATAGCGCGACCGCAGGGTCATGTCTCCCTCTGACGTTTCCTCCTATCTGCAGTTTTGGAGAGCGACAGTGCATGGGGGGCGGGGGGGCCCCAGAAAGTTTTTCGCTTTGGGTCCAATGAATATTAAAGACGGCCCTGACTGGAATGGTGGATAGGTGAGAGCCAGGTACACGCATAATTTCAGTTTCAGTGCCTGTAGGTGGTATCCAGGTGTACTGCCAGCCTGGGGAACACACCTTTCCAGAGACTCTGACAATGCACCTGGCTGCCACCTACAGGCACTGTCAGTGTCACTGAAATGTTGTATGCACCCAGTTTTCTGCCCCCTCCACCTCCCACCCACTCCTCCTGCCTTGTCCTCTTCCTCCTCCCGCCAATCCTTCCTCCTCCAGCCAGTGAATGCAGAGCGCATTTGCTTGTCCCTAAAAAGGAAGAAAACATTATATATATATATTCCACTATAAAGCATGTTTTCTATAGTACCACATTTGTGCCTATTCTTACACTATATATTGCCAATTTATTTATCGAAGTCTTGTGAACTCTTTGGGTGGGATATGGACTTATGAGTTTCTATTTACTCTGTAAAAGCGGACCTTTACCCAAATCTTTAAACTAACAACAAACACACCTTTTAGAAATGTTTACTAATGACAATGTACAAACGCATACACAGAGATAATTGCCGGCTTTTTCTTTTTTGTAAGGATGCACTGATACTGTTATTTCGTTATGAAGTACAGGTATAGATATTTTTTTCAGGTACTCACCAATACAGAGTAACAAATACCGATACCAGAAGTCCCATTAAGGAAGTGTAAGGACTTTGCGCCCAACTTTCTGATTAGCTGGGAAGCTGGACGGTGTGTAATGACTCGCTGCCCGGCTTTCCAATTAGCCGGGAAGCCATCTCCATGCTCCCTTGTCACCAGGTGACGAGGAAGCATGGAGCCGGCTTTCTGGCTTATCAGTAAGCCGGGGGGGTAATGACTTGCCGCCTGGCTTTCTGATTGGCCAGCTTCCCAACCAAGCAGGAAGCTGTGCGGCCAGTCATTACACACGCTGCCCAGCTTCCTGATGGGCCAGGAAGCCGGCTCCATGCTGCCTGGTGATGAGGGAGCATGGAGCTGGCTTCCCGATCCATCAGGAGGCCGGCGGGGAGTCATTACATGCTATCCCGATACCAGAAGTTCCTGTATCGGGATAGGCATTGGGAGCAAATACTGGATATCGGTATCGGTGCATCCCTAATTTTTTGCATACCTTATTTCTCTTTTCTTCCCCAGTCTTCTGACAGTGGCCATTTTAACTAAGGGCAGATTACTAGATCTCCTATTAATTCCTGGAACTCTGGCAAATATGTCATATCAGGGGAGGAAAATACCTTTCCCTGAGATCTCATGAGATTACAAATGAGATTTCCCAGCAATGCTCTGCTGATGTAACCTTCCCAGAATACAATGCTTGGGTACATTACATAATTTATGTCAAAGTGGACCAGGAAGTAGGAATTAAAAAAAAAAAATATGTTTAGCTAATGAATGTCAGATGATTTCATATCAGCATGCAGAGGTCCACATTATGCAGTACATAGTGAGTCAGTGCTATATACAGTAAATAATGGACATTAAAGGAGAACTATGGGGTCAGTGTTTTTCCCCATAGTTCTCCTTAGGGTAACGGGAGGACACAAACTAGCATCCTCCCGTTACCCTAAGCTCAGTATACCGCGAGCTACAGCTCGCAGTATACTGAGACGCCGCAGCCGGAGCGGATCCCGACGTAGATGACGTGATCCGCCCAGTGGGGTGAGTGACAGCTGGCTCTGCCTATCTAGAGGCAGAGCCAGATGTACCCACCCCCTCCCCCGTCCGTTCCGCCAGTCAGTGTTGGCAGATCGGAGCGGGGAGAGGGGAATCCAGCCCTCCCCCTGTCACGGCAGAGAGCCGTGACAGGATCGAGAGGTGAGCGAACCCGGTATGTATTCGCTCACCTCCCGATCTACTGAGCCGACCTGTGACAGTCTCATTGTCACAGGTCGGCTAGAACTATGAGGTGAGTGGAAATCACTCATCTCATAGTTCTCCTTTAAGCTGTACACTACATAGTTCAGAACAGAAAAGAGTCTGTGTTGCCCAGAGCAGGAAGTAATTTCTAACCAGTGCTAGTAAGAAATTACTGATTGGTACCTGATTGGTGACTGTGTGCTACATATTTAGGTTCATAAAAGTCCACTGTGTTCAACCAACACATCATTCTGCCCAACTTTCTGGGGTGAGAAAGAGGGACACCTTCTAGCACAAAGTAGGCAACAGACACACTCTGGCCATGTCCCAATTATATGGACCACAAATGTATATGCCAAAAATGATTGGTAAGGCCCAGAATTGTTGTTTTATCACCATCACTTTTCCTTTATACTGGCTTTTCAAAATTGAAAATAAGATAATTAAGAGATAAGATGAAGGTTTTAGTGCACAAGAATAATTAAATAGAGCATTTCTTTAGATATCTGACATCAGACCAAAAAGAGGGACAATTGAGGAGGCAAGGGGGACAAAGGGATTTGGTTCCGAATGAGGGACAGATGGGAGGTATTAAAATATTACCAGTTAGTGTTCCACTGATTGTGTTCCCCATCATGCAGACCATTGCACTTCCCTGTTTATAATGTACAACTGTCTCTTGTATTTATCTCCCACCTTCCTTCAGTATGATGAAACGATGAGTTTTTTTAGCCACCCCTTTTCTTGTCATGCTTCTTAGCTGCAGGCTCAGAGTTCCTCAGTCATACATGTGACTCCCTTGTTCTTTCTTCCCAATTACACTGAATGAATTGTTCACCACCCACGATAAGACCCCCAACCCACCACTTCCATGCCTCGCAATACCATGGCAGAGCGGAGAACGTTCTATCGCCTCTTCTGCTGCTGCTGTAATGAGGATTTGCCAGAGAAGAGCCCTTTAATCAGGTAAGAATCTGGATTCTATGAGGGAAAACCCAGCAGACCTTAATGACCATGAAATTCACACCATATCGGAAAACCGCTGTGTAGTCTGTGCCACTGTGGGAATGATTTTGGTACATATGAAATTGTAAAACTACTGAAGATGTCATAATATAGAAGTATGTTGTTCAATTATTAAAGGAATTCAAAGAGGAACTGACACTCCTGACCTTCTAAAATGACTTGTTGACTGGCTGTCTCTGATCACTATCCCACAACAAGTATGCATATCAGGAAAGTAATAGTTTAGTAGGAACTCCTGATCTGAATGCTTGCTCCAGGTCAGGTATTTGAAATAGCCCCGGATCAGCATGACAGCCAGGCAGCTACCATTTCAGAGGTGGAAGCCTCCATATTCTCCCAGTATTCTTTTAATATGTTTCATGGTGGGGGAAAGAGATACATTGGTGTTGCCCATTTTGTTTCTTCCAATTTTACAAGAGCTCTGGAAAAATATCTGTTCCAATCTGGTTGCTGCAGGACTTACACCTTGTCTTTAATCCAAAGACATTCTTAAGTGGCAAGTATTTGTGATCTAGCAAAACGTACTTGGTTTGTCATAGTAAAACCATGTTCTAACATTTCCTAAGAAATACATGGGGGCCGCCTTCATGATGGTCCTCCTGCTTTAAAACTTCAGATCACTGACCTGGAATAAATATACAGGTCTGGTCCTCTAACTATAGTGGCTCAAATATAAGTGGGAAAGCATAACAGCCAGACAAGTAGCATTTTCTGAAGGTAATGGCAACCCTATATTTTGCTTTATAGTGGTTTGTGTTCTGGGGAACGGTTCTGGACCCCTAACCGCATGTAATCTTATGTAGTACAATTACATGCGGTTTGAATAATCACTATCCCTGGATGCAATGTGCGAGAGTGATTGATTCCTAACTGCATGTAATTGTATCACATCCCATTGCATCACATATGATTACATCACATACCATTATATCACATACTATTACATCACATATGATTACAAGCGGTGTGCCGGCATTCAAATGCAGTGGCTTTCACCCAATTATTAACTTGAACGGGGGGCAGCTGCTGCTTGTAAAATATTAGGGATTGCTGCTGCAGGAAATCGCAAGTTCATGACGCAGGAATCCCTAATTGCACCTATAATATAGGTATGAACGGGCCAACTTATGAAGGGTGTATTCCAATGCTATTTAGGTTTACTTGCTTAATCTGAATTTGGCTTTAGCTTGAACCAGGGGGGCAGATATCCAGGGCCGGATTTGCTCTCCCTGCCGCCCCAAGGCCAGGTTTTGCAATGTGCCATC